AGGAACAATCACTGCAATCAGCTACACAAGCCCTTCCTCTGTTTACGGCCAAAGAAGCACACTGGAAACATTTACTTCTTCTCCAACATGGTTGGTGTAAATAAACCACAGAGTCTCAGAAATGAGCATCATCAAAGCGTCTGTTAGCGTACAAACAGAGCCTCACATCAAACCACTGAGCCATTCGGTTCTCACACTTTCTGATGCCGGCGCACAATCAAGGGAAATCAGAGCTGGTCCGAGTCGAACCAAAATAAGCCTCCTTTCTGCCGGGGGCGGTAAACAAATAGCAAGGGAAGTGTTTCTAATAAACAGGGAAGAAATATGTTGACAACTGCGTGCTCTGTTTTTCTTCAGTGTGTGTGTTTTCTTGTTTATTTGAAACATTTCGTAAAACTCAACAAATCATCGTAGTTCAGATTTACGCTCACAGAGGTGAAGGGAGAAGTGTGCCGGTGTGTGTTTTGGAGTCAGGGAAGTAAAAGACAAGTTTGCGTGCGGACACTGGCCTGCACTCAGAGGCCCAAAGACATCACAGTGTGTGGATGCTGCTCGCACACATCAACACACACAAACATTTTGGGAGGTAGTCTGCGTCAGCAAAGCCAAACAGCGGAATGTTCCAGTTTGGATTGTCAGAAAAAAATTCACATGACTGAGACACCAGAACTGAAGCTGGGAGGGGAGATACAACTTTCAAACATGTCTGATTATAAAACAACAGAATCTGATGGGTTTGCATGCCTCAGGCGATCTGGGTGGATGTGGAAGCTGTCTGCAAAGATCCAGATAAGGATGCCAAATAACAGAGACATCCTTAGTGGCGTGACACTAGGGCCAAAACAAACCAGCTGTTATGGGAGTGCCCAGTAAGACTTAAATCCCCGCTCTGCAGTTCGGGGCACAACAACACTGCAAAGGATACAAATAAAGACTGTGTCTGTCTCTAAAAGTGGAGAACTCAGCATTTTGTCATGCATGAAGTCCAGACAACGTCTGAAGAATCAGGTCTGGATTTCCTCTGAGTGAAACTCCTCCCAGTGAGAGTGTGAAGCAAACATTAAGGGCTCGACACACAGGAGGCGACGTCGCTCACTCTCCATTCATTTCCTATGGAGCCTGTGCGGTGAGGCGACAATCGCTTGCCCTCCTCCAGCTAAGCGACCGACAAAAATAGTGCAAGTGAAATTTCGCGCTCGTACACGTAGACGTGCACACGCGAGCTTGCGACGCGACATATGAAAGTTGAAAAA